TCTCTCGCCCCTCCTGCCAATCTTCCTCTGCCACATATCTACATTTATTCTCACCTCCCATTCCTCTGCAACCGTGAAATTTCCCTGCCCTGGATGGCAAACATTGTACTCAGAGTGCCGAAGATGAGAAACCAAAGGCGAACTGTAGAGCTCCACATTTATCCCTCAAACGAGAAGAGGGATGAAAAGAAGTGAATATGGGGCCTTTTGAGCCCTAAAATTGGTCGTTAGGAGCACACATTAAGAGTTTAGTGTCCAGAGGGACGCCAAGAACAGCCACTTCAACTTGTTCGAGAGGATATAAAACCTAGTCAATCCGGGAATGAGTTTGGATTGAAATGCCCTCTTATATGTAGTTTAGAAGCTAGGTTTATGACTAAGGGTGTATGCTTAAAGCCACAACATCAGGTTAAAGACATACACAAACAGATTTCTGCTGCAATACTTAAATTTGTCAGTACATGCAATGCATATTCCCTGAGTAAATTCATTAACTGCCAATTATGCAATTAATTTTCCAATTAACTCGCGTCTAAGCTTAATTAAGAGATCCATTTGGTGGTGCTTATTGGACTCTCTCTACCCCAGACAGTGTGACACACCCAATATGGACAAATGAAGTGAAACTTTTCATCACGCCGACCACCCTCACTTCTTTCTGCCTCATAATCTGGAATATAGTCATTTAGAGAACGCACACCTTGCGATAGTGTAGCCGTAGCATGTAACTAATTGACAAGAGAGCGTCGGCATATCGCCCAATTATCGTGTATACGCACCATGTTTGCGACTCTATGTGGTAAACCACATTCGTTAGTCATGAAGTAATGCCGAGGGACTGGCATTTGGCTGATTGCAAAGGATACAGTAGAAGCCCAATTGGATGCAATTCCTCACTCTTGTGATTTGTTAACAGGCAAGTGAGCTAATTGTTATCTATCACCTGTCCCTCGCTTAGGTCACCCCCTTTCTGCTAATCCAATTGCGGTTCACGAGCACAATATGGCAAACACTCACGCAATCAATATCCCGACGCGTCGGGAGTGATACAATTTGGCTAATTCCCATTGTCAGGTTCTTCTTTAGAAGCATTCTCACGCTATACAACCCCCCCCTGAAACCGCCTGAAAGTCCCGCAAAATTGTCGCTGATAATTCGAGAAGTTCCCAATGCCACAAATGCGGTCCGGCCACATCCAATTTTGCCCATAATTACATTTAGGGGATTACACCTGAATTAAGACAATGCATAATTAAGCGAATATGTGCTCTACACACACACACACCGTCCATTACCACTGCCACTGGGCAGCTCAATGCATGCGATAACTCTGTCTCCCTCTCCCGTTCACTGTCAGACAGCGGAAAGCTTTTGCATCTTGCATACCTTGTTGCAGACTCTCATATTCTATCATCCGCCACACACTCTCAATTTAGCCCATCCAAATCTCACTTTACTGTATGCAAGGCTCCAAACATTTGCTAATGTATCGCAAATCTCTCACACCTCACGTACCATTAGGCCAGAGTTGTGCAGTGTGGTTGAGGGCAAACATATAGATTCTGGTATCATTGAGAAACTCTGGATTGTAAACCTTGTTGTGATGCAAACTCAAATTCTACGTCCACCTCAGCTCTGCACAACACTGTCTGAACACATGCGTTCACTATCTCCCTCTCACACATGTTATGATTCAATTTAAAATTAAAATTGCCTCTCCATGGTGTAATTTAATAATACATAGTATAATCTCACATTAATAAGAATCTCAAATGTAATTATAATTACACAGCTCCATTGGAAGTCAGTTTCTCACATCCCCGCACCAGCATTTTCTCAAATTTTACCATCACGGAAGCTCTCAAATGAGAATTTTCGTACAACACCCAAACAGCAAAGTATAACATGGCTTATTAGTGTTCTTGAGAGAGGCAACAAAATTCTCAAAAGCATACAACACAACAACATTGTAATAGATGCTCATCTCGCATGGAATAGAAGGGAAAAATATTCCTTTTCACATTATATACATGATGAGGAAATGTGGAAAAGTATCATGAAAGGAGTGTTACTCAATCCCAGATTATGAGGTGATGAGAGAGAGAAAAGGAAATACAAAGAGAACAAGTAATAAAAGCACATACCAAAATGTTCAATACCAGATTTAAAATATCAAGTTATCTACATTAGCGTACAATCAATTTGGCAAATAGTCACGTATTTCTTCTGCCATAACACACACACACATTAATCGAGCGTTGAGTTTTGTATTACATTCCTTTGCAAAGTCTCTTTTGGATTATTTATACAAAGTGGCAAAATTGTTCAACAAAGTGTCTCAAATTAGTCCCAGATATTGCATTTCACAGACAATGAGAATTTCATCGAGGGTTTGGACATGACGTTCAACCTATAATGTAAATTATTACATTAAACTGCGCGCCATGGAAATAAAAATCACCACCTTCTCGGCCCTCGCCACCCCCGCGACGCGGACGGATGTCTGTCAAGAATGGCTGATTGCTTTTGTGCGGATAAAGAGAGAAAAGGAGGGCCATTCTCAGGTGCGGAAACTTTTCATTGGCAAATTTGGAACGGAAAGAGCATCATTATGACTGACAAAAGTTTCCATTCTGGGGGATGAAACTGCATTAAAAACTTCCCATTGGCTGTGTTTTCTTTTCCTTATATTCTTCACCTTGTTCTCGCGCGCGCCTCCAATGGTGCTCTCACAGCGCCATTTAGACTTTCCTTATGATTTTTCACCGTGCCCCAAACTCCCCCAACCCGCCAGGGATGCCCCATGACTCTGCAATGAAGGAATTTTCATGTAAAAACTTCCACCATATACGAAACGCCCAGCGTCGCTCCCCTTCTTGAATTTTGGAGTCACGTACTGAAGCCCATGTACAACTAAAAGATTACCGTTCTCACCGGATATCACCTGAATTCGACACGGAACTATCATGGAGAAGTAAATTTCGTCATTGTGATTCAAAATGTGGCCTCGGGGAAATAGAGATCGGGCGCGATTGTGTTGAAGAGCTCAGCGCCGCAGCTTCGCAATTTGGCAAATTTCGAATTGTGACAAAAAAGCGCCGCCCCCCCACAAAAATCTCCTCTTGCGAAGTATACTTCCTTTGTTCACATTTAATGCAATTTCTCTCCCAAATTATCCCTCTAGCTGTTGCTATAATTCCAATTTCCCACCAATTTCACGATGAAAATTATCTCCCAATTGTTTTGTGTGGTGAAATTCAAATTAAAACCAACCCTCAACCCAACAACAGTCCCATCACGGGGATAATGGACCACTTATTAGCAATCAAGAGTTCGCTTTTATAGGCAATTATCGTTGCCCATGTAGTTGGTGTAACAATTCGCTTTATCTCTCTAGAATTTTCCAATTTGAAAAAGCATCAGTATTTTTAGTACTGCACTGTTCAATAATATTAAAAAGCCCCCAGAGAGTGAGAGAGGGAGAGAGTGAGAGGGAGTAAAACTAGAAAGTACGCTATTCGTTTATACACACTCTCTGCATGGTGACAAAAAAGCCACTCCACCAGTGAAGATGGAAATTGCGGGGGAACAAAAAGCTCGCAGTTGTAAATGAATAAACAAAGTATGAAGGAAATATTGGAATAGTTTTAAAATGAATTTTCAACCGAGGAGAGAATTTTATGAATGTCAAATTTTACAATGACTAAATTTCCACAATGAATTTCCCTCTTTCCCCTCCACTGCAATACCATAAACACTAATTGAGCTTTTCTCCTTCAGACAAACACAAAAGTAGTAGATGTGCTTTTTCAATCTGGGGGTTGTTGCATTGCACTTTATTCATCTCAAGAATGCATGAATATTCTATAAGATTCATAAGGAGAGGATTTTAATTTCCCACTCAAACAACTCGCGATATCTTCATCTTCTTGTGGGCGAATGTGGAGGATGGAAAAGCATCTCCCCTTCGAAGAAACAACATAGCTAACAAGCAAAAAATGTCGATAGAGAGGACGAGAGAAATAAATCTCTGACAAATCAATTGGAAAATCCTCAGCAATTAATTATGGTAAAAAGTGAGCAATTACAGTGAATGCAATGAAGTGATTCTAATTGCTCCAGTTCTGTGCATTCTAAGAAAAAGTTTCACAAGAATGGCACACAATATATATATATAAATACTTAAAATAGATATTCTTCTCTCACTCTCTTTGGTTAGTAAGGAATCGTATTTCATTACCAATTTTAACGACTTTGCATATTATAGTGTGAAAGGATGAAAGTGAGAATTAAAGGCAAAGAGCGCACAATTGCAGAAAGATGTCCATTCAACCGAAGGGTGGAAACGACAAAAGATATACTTGTATATATAATTATTTACATGTGACAATAAAAGCAGATCAATTAATCAAATACATGGTGCCCAGCCCTCGATTTTCTCCCATTCTCTGTGTTTCATGTCTTATGAAAGGAAATTTATTGCATATGGCAGTTTACTTGTAGTTGTAATGTGTGCAATGGCCAATAAATTTTCCCCAATTAATACAATATTAGTCTGTTATTATGTATGTTATACTGTTTTGTTAATACTGTATCAGTGTTCATATGATCTCCATCTAAAGCCACACCAGCAACAGTCACCTCATATTGCAGGTTATCTCCAACGTCAATGCTTTGCTTATCAAATAATTTGTTCTTCTTCAAAATTTCATAACATTCTTTTACATTTTATATATACTGAATGTGTTTCTCTGTTTTCGTGAGGTATCATTTGGTGATGTGTTATTCATCCACTTTAAAGCATAGCCTTTTCTTGCAGAAATGATTTCATAACACTTATTTACGTGTGATGGTTATACTTTAGCTTTCGCTCTGGGGGTGTTTTATTATTTATATGATTCTGATTATCAGAAGTACATATACAAAGTGCAAAAATCTAGTGCCAGCTGTTTTAATAATAAAATTTGATTAAGAGAGCAGAGAAGATTTTGATATCGTACCGTTTCGCTCACCTTCTTCTCCCACTGGAGGACATAGGGAACGGGATGATCACCGGGAAATTCGACGTGACAATTGAAGACAACACTCTCTCCAAGAATGGCAGTAATATGCACGGCATCTTGCTGGGCTACTGAAAATGAACAGTCTCTTATTAGAATTTTGCACAAAATCTCAAATTGCGCGGCAAGAGAAATGTCGCAAATCGCTATCAACCCTGTTCGTTATGCAATTTCCACTGCACGAGATCCGTTCGTCTCTAGAGAGAATACCATCACTCTTCTTCATCGCCACTAGTCTGGCATAGTCAATGACCAAATGTCATCCACCTCACATTTCCTCAGCTCCGTGTGGCTTTTTGACGGCAAAATACGAGCTACCACGGATGGAGCAGTGCGGTGGATGCCTCAATAAACCTTACTTTCGGGGAAATCACACGAGAGAACGGCGTGTATGATTCTGCGGGGTGTCACTGAGTGCATTTTGAGAATCCACCCTCGCGCCACTCAAGCGCCACACCGCATCCCATATTAACTCCCTTTTGGCACTGCCACAACACTAAAGTGTCACGTATGAATATATTTATAGAATTACGATTTCCTGAAGTGCATACAGAAAGCTGCGAGTAAAATTTTCCTATCATCCCCTTCTCACCCTTTGTCAATATTCCACCATCCCGGAGAGATGTGAAGCAGTGAGAAAGCCACTCTGTAAGACATACCACGATCCACAAAATGCATATGATTGGATATATAGAAGTCAGAGACAGAAAAGATCACAAATCGCATTAATACATTTGCAGGAAAAGTAATTGAAATAATATTATTACACAATTCACATCAAAAGCTTTCGAGTTTCCGCCAGATTATATACCAAAATGGTGAGATTGAACATTTTACTAACCACATTTGCCATTTCCATGTTTTACATGTTCCCCAATTTTTAATCTCTCCGCAAAAGCTCTCTCCAAAAATTACAAAACCCCGGGAAAAGTGAGCTCATGAAATTTTACCGCCTCTCATCACGGATTTTAAATATCATGAATTTTCTCACACATTCGACATCTAAGAGTGCTTTTCGACTCTATACTCGGAATGAGGGATTACATGTGTTGTCTCCTCCACAGCGTCACTCATCCACCCTCCCAACACTGCTGGGGATTATTCAATTCGCAAACAAGAAAAGAGTTTTGGACCCCATTTTCACAGAAACTCCCACACAAGTTGCAAAAACTGGAAGACAAGGGAAGCTCATACCAGTGATAAAAGCGAGCGTGGGTGTTTTTCACATTACAAAAAAATAACTTATTCTCACAGAAGAGCTTCTGTGTTGTTTCACACTCATTTTGGAGGCGAGTTTGAATGTATCTAAAAAATATTGAAAGTAGTAACTTCAGTTTTACTTACCGAATTCACCGAGATTTACATTTGCGGCAATTCCTCCGATTAGAGCAAATAGAGTGAGGCAGAGGAGTGTCCACTCTGGAGATGATCGAGTAGTGGCGATTGATCGCGACCGGCTTAATGCCTGACACCACCGGAAAGACCCAGGGTCTGCACGCACGCCCATGCCTCTGATCCCATACTCACTGCTAACGCATCGTCCTCATTGCAGCGGCGTCACCTGCAAAAACAGCCAAAGCACAACTCAGAGTTAACTCAGAGGCTATGAGAGAATCTGTAACTCTTAATTTCAATAGATCTCATCACGGAACTTCAAATTTTCCTATGCAACTATTCTATGCAGTCACACAAAGTTGAGTGTGCAATTTAGTTATCTGTGTCTAAACTGAAGTTAAGACAGCGATGCAATAACTTGTCATGGTAGTATTTCTATAGAAATACTTAATAAACTTAAATTCTCCTCGTTAGCATTGAGGACATGGCGATCCACACAGAGAAGACGTCTTTATTAAACTTTCCCCCTTTTGCTGTGTAATTTATTAAATTGTCCAACATGGCTAAACTCTATGGTGAAATATCTAAAGAAAATTGCACTAACTTTTGGTCCCAAAATTTTACACTCTCCATTTCCCTGAATTTTCAACATCCACCCCCGCTTTCTGGGCGAGATATCATCTGATAGTACATCCCGCTGCTAAGACGAATTTTCACCATGGCGAGAGTCTCCTCGCTCGCTTCCATTCTTCCCCAAACCATTGCAGCGCACCATCCAATAGAGATAAATTGAGTTTGAAATATTTATCAAAATATTTGGACGCTGATGGTAAAAGTATATATACAGCTAGTTGGTATAAGAAAGTTTACTCAATCCTTTTGGGAAATAAACAATGATCCGTTACGCTCCTTGCAATATAACAGAACAACACGATGAGGGGTGTTGAGGATATTTTTCTAACTTAAGTAACTCACTTCAATCTATCCACTCTGTCAATATGATGAAAACTTCGCTCGATCCATGCCGTTCTGCGAAATTTTACAAAATATATACATACTTTGCCTGCTTCAGCAAAAACAGATTTCTCTCTCCCTCACACACTTCCAACTCCAATACTTAAAGCTCCAATAGAATACGACCGATATAAACTTTTTTTGTCCACCCCTTTTTGCTCTATTAATATCAGAAAAATGCGCAATATTGAATATTTGCCTCCAGGTTTGCCGAGATCCGCTCAGGAACGCAATCATAGACTCTTTCTCAGCAACAATAATTGGAAATGCTTGAAAAACTTGAAATACTTCCGCCATTTATTGCCTGGCATTCTTTTACATCGCGAAAAGGTGGAGTGACTCTTCTTGAAAGCTCCTGCGGCTTTTTCTTTGTTGAGATTTTTCATGCGCCTCTTTGTGCACAAAAATACTTTCAATTTTCTTCACATTTCAAATATTCCTTCATTCGCTTATAAATAAATATCCACACAGTGCATCAACCTCTCTCTAACTTTCTTGCAAATAAAAATGCTACACTTCCTGCTCATCTCCTTTTTCACTAAAATGCACTTCAAAAGCGGAAAAAGGGAGATGAAGCGGGAACTTTTCCCTCCGAACATACAGAGGATTCGAGAGGAGATTCCGAGAAAATTGAGTGTATTTATTTGTTGGAAGGGAGAATAAAACTTGTGCCATTTTACTAAGAAGTCGCACAATGTTCAGAACATGCGGAGAAACAAAACAAGCACCTCAATTTCTTTCTCCTCTTCCATTGCAAATGCAATGCAATGAACTCAATTTTAATATCTCCCAAGTCAAGTTATACATATCATGTCATTTTAAACATAAACATATACATTTTCGTTCTTATGCGCGAATGCAAGTGAGCTTATTTGTGCGAGGGTGCGAAATTTCTGCCGAGATGGAGACGCCTGGTTGGGTAAATTGAAATTCGCTCCCATGGAATGGAAAATTTAATTAATTGAATGCCACTGCGCCAGCTTTTCCTCCAAACGATGTACACATAGAAATTCATGTTGGAACATTTAGAGTGTATCATAATGGAATGTTTATCGATGGAAATTCTTGCGTAATAATTAATTTATTGAAACCACCTGCAAACCACCAAGAGAAATCAATACCGTGATCCTCATTGCCCATCAGTGTGTCTGTATTCAGTGAAATTTGCATAGAGAGATACGCGTGTTGTCAGTGAATATTCCCAGGGAAGTGAAGCATGCGGTGCTGCATAGAGGCGAACGGAAGGAAGATATTTGCAGAAAATCTGGATGCAGAATATGCGTGTTAAAAGTGCATTTCGTATTTAAAACACATCCTGTATCTCAAAGCATCTGGCAACGAGGGAGATATTCAACTTTTCCTGTGTTGTCACAGAAGGAAAGACAAAGGAGAATCCGACAAATCGGAATAAAGACCAACTTCCCGTTTACCTTCCACTTACAGATATAACGACGGCGACAATGCAAATATCAAAGGGAGATACACCTCTGCACACAGACACGTAATACCTGTGCTGTAGTGTTGGCAAAATTATGTAAAAGCAAACCTCCTCTTCACTTGTACACACCCAGCCAAGGAAAGACATTCAAATGGGGTTGCAAATCCCTTCCGCTTCTGCTCCACCCGCAGCAAGGAATGGGAATTGAATGCGAGTGAAATGTTTATACCCTTCATAGTCCATCAAAATCGGGGAAAATGATTTTTCCCCGACAGAATGCCAAAGTCAGAGGCATCTCCATTTCCGGGGTGGAAGATAAGCACAAATCAAACTTGTATAAATTTTATCAGGCACCACAAGAGATTGAATATTAAAATTCAAAACCAAATTGATTATTCGCAATATTAATTACACGCGAAAACTGTGGGTGATTGAGAAATAAGACATCAATGCGAAAATTAATTGCAATATATACCCAAAATACCGAAATACCAGCCAAAGAGAGAGAAAGAGAGAGAGTGAGATTTAATCAAAACTCCCACCCGCACACGAAATTCCTCATGGAAAAGTTATCGGAGAAAAAGGGGTACAGATCGTGGAAATTATTTGCATTAGTCCTTGTTTACATGAAACATATTTGAGAGCCTTCAACTTTTGCTCGCCATACCGTGTTTAAGTTTATTTTTCCACACGATAAAACATAATTTCAGCAATAGAAACCTTCGCCCCTTCCGCCACCCTTCATTTTCCACTTTCAACACAAGATATCTCACTTTAACTATGTAGATTCTTTTCCCGAGAAGATGAAATTCTCCCTCTCACCGCCATTCAATATACATACTGATCGCCTTAAGTTGGGTGAAGTAGGAAAACAAAAAGTGGATTAGTGTGTGAGAAGAAACGAGAATTTCACGTTTATTCTGCCCCAGGAGAAAGTATATAAGTTCACTAAGGCAATTTTCCACCCATCTCACTCAATTTTGTCTCACAACATTGACTCTCTGGCGTGGTGGGAAAAGTGCATTCCGTGAATTCACTGAGTCTCTCCATCAGGATCAATTGTAAAGCATATAAGCGATAGATTCTATTTCAAATTAAATAAATATATCTGTCAAGCAAGCGATAAAATATTGCTCATACTTTTATCCATGCGAAGATCAAGATTTATTCTTCGCTCTTTTAACCCAAAAATTCAAATACTTCGATGAATCGTCGCTGCGATCGTTAGAATAACGTTAGCACTTTCATCTCAAACAATTGCTTTTGCGAGCAGATCTTCGATAACAGTGAAATTCTCAGCTAAATGCGTTCACTGGGCTGTGTCTTCTTGATGTTTGATTTGAATTTTCAAAAAGTCTTTATCCGCTCTACATTTTCAACCAAGATTTTCCCTCTACTCAAGAGTTCTTTGGTAGTTTCTCGGTACAATTTTTATTACGTTGCAGAATATTCACTGAGGACATTTTGTTCAGTACAAATTTCAAAGAGAATATTAAATAAAAGGTCTGAACAAATCCCTTGAGGTGTCACATTTGCAAAAAATATGGGAAGAACAAGCAAAGAGCTCTAATAACCTCGTCGTTCGGTGCAAAATTCACAGAGTGCTTTTGAGATAAATCCAATATCATCTTTTAAAATGACTAACTATATGTCTATATATATGTATAGTGAGTTTATCCAGGAGGGAAATTAATGTGGGTCCGCTGTAAAATGGCACAAGGGTGTGAGGGAGTAAATGAAAATTGAGAAAGTTATTATAAGACAATGTTGACTGTAACCACGGGTGGTGGAAACAAATAATGCTATTCTTCGCCGTTTTTTCGTCCCCCTCACACCCCGCCAGTGGATCTCGGAACATTATACAATATATCCACCGATAGGGTGGGGATCTGAACTTTCATCTTCATTGAGCTTCAGCCCAGTGCTTAGGGAGTACGTTTAAGCGGCATGTACCTGTGCTGATATGACATCTCCGTGAATGGAGGTGCTATCGAGAATGGTGCTGATGTGTCTCCTCTTCCTTTTTTGCCACACTCCCTTCTCACACTGACACACACGCCTATATAGTGTTACACTTTCTCTCTCTCGCTCTCCAAGTCCTCTTCCTCACACGGAAAGCACTCCAAAGTGAAGGCACCGTTTCACAGGTTCTCTTGCACAGTGTCTCCTTATTATATCTTACAACTTATCACACACTCATAGTACAAGACGGAGTTCCTGCAGAATTCAGTGTGATTACATGGTTTTTTGGGGGAACGACAATGGCTTTTATTGCATCATTTCGTTGTCACAAACTATAGCAACAGCACCAGAGAGTGCCACATAATTTTCACAGAGAAAGAGAGAGAAAGAGAGAGAGCGGGAGGATAAACAGGGGCATGGCAGGGGTGAAAATTTTTCGGCAAAGGACACGCGAAGGATGTGGGCCGCGAATGTGTGTGTGTGTGTGTGAGGTGATTTCCCCCGTGAAAATCATATCCACAAGGATGTGTTGGAAATATCCCGGCACTGGGAGACTACAATATCGCACGATATATCGTGCCGTTTGCCACCGCACATCCCTGGCCATTTCTGCCCGTGACGTCGAATCATGCGCTTGTGTGTGACTTTGGGGTTGTTTTCACCCCTGAGACTGTGGTAGTCTCACTCTCTCTCTCGCTCTCGCCAGCTACATATATCTCATGCTGAATATAGTACAGAGAGCGGGTGTGGTCTATAGAAGAAAATTTCAATTCTCATCACACATTTTTCCACCATAGCTCAACTTTACGGATTTTCACTCCTTTTATTTCTCACCCACACAGCATTTGACTGAGATTTCCGATCCATGGCCCCCGGGGCCCAAGGATGGAAAGTCAGGAACAAACGTAGCAGATCTAAATGAAAATTTTTGGGCTATGAAGATGAAAAATCAAATCACCTCCGGGGATTTGTTGTGTAAATCAAGCGCGCGCTCGTGTCCCGTGTTTGAGGGAGGAAGTTTGCCAAACTTACAGGGAGGAAGCGATGGGAAAATTTTCCATCAAACCCCTTCACACATACACATAGACAGAAACCGGAGTTTTGGGGGCTCAATTGCCCAGCAAAAACCCATCTTCGGGACGCCCGTGAGAGATTGTGCAAAAAGGCTGGGGGTGGAGAGTCGTGAGTCATAAGTGTGGAAAATCATCCGTCAAGACCGGGTCCGGGTGGGTTTGAACAAGTGAACGCACTTTTTACGCCCTCGCCGCTCGGATTGAGCAGTTACACGGCGATTGGGGGTGGGAGAGGGTGGCTCTGAAATTACTCTGGTGCGACAATTAATTGTCGCCCACCGACACTTGACACTACACACCAAGGGTGAGAGACACACTGTATAGAGGACTACACACAAATGATAGACACAACACAAGGAGTCGCACGCTAGAAACTGGGTGGATCACTGACGATTTCAGTGGTCGTCTGCAATGGATATTTGCAGCAACCCTGCTATTTGTGCGGATGACGATGAATTTGTGATGTTTCTGCCCACGACGACGCAGTGGCGGCGTCGAATCGCGCGTTCGGCCCGCGCCGACCCACCCCCGAGTCGGCGCACAATGTGCAATTGCCAACATTGGGGATGAAGAGAGATGGTTTCCACACAGCACTTTTGGCCTTTCCATATGTGACAATTCGCCCCATGCCTTTGGAAAATCACACAAACTACATACATCCAAGTATTTAACATCCACAAAATACACACATTCAATCAACGGAAACTTTCGGTTATGCCGCACAACTATATATCCACTTCCACCGCAAGTGACTGCGGAGTGAAAAGACGTTACTAGAATGCAAATTACCCTCAAGCACACTTTCCCATGGTTATTCAAGATAATTTCCTCAAACAACCCATGTGAATTGATTCGGTGTACACAAGTCCCAAAACCGAAAATTCCGGCATGAAATTGAGAGACAAAGCTGGAGATTTTCTCCACCATAGCAATTCCATCCCCTTCTCAGATCCCACAATCCAAAGCCAGACTCTCTCTCTACACCGCACTAGCGAAGCACCCAGTCATTTGCTCAGGATGAAAATCAAACGGGAAAAGGAGAAAAGAAAGGGGATTAGTCGATTTTTCACCATCACTCCTATTTGTCCGACCGTTTGTACTTCTCGGGGTCGAACCCGCCCGCCAAACCCCAGAAAAGACCATCCACACAGATTGGGGATTTTCACTTTTATGTCAGACTCCACTGTGAGAAAATTCAATTGTTGGCACAAATCCAGAACTAAACATGGATTTCCAAACCCCAACACTCACACACAGTGTCCCGAAAATAATTTCAACTCCTCACACAACTGACAAAACTATCCATGGGCCGTCGAAATGAAGTGATACGCTGTGCCTGATAAAACACTCAAACTTCTGCGACGGGGAAAATTTCTTAACGAGGAAAATTTTAACGTGATTCCTTCATATATACATATATATGTATCTACGTAAAGTTTTGAGAGGGGAAGACAGAAGCCAAAAATAAATCTCTATGGGAATTATTCAGTGGCAGCACAAGTTCTCCTCCGGTGAAGCCTGAAAAGTGTCTCTAGGTTACGGAAGCAATTACGAACGCATAAGATATTCAGGAAGACTCTTATCCCAACTGTGCTGCTAAAATGCCCGACAATTTTTAATGACATGAGATGCATTTGATAGTGCTTCTGGTGAAATTGAGATGGGCACATGAGGTTTGTAAGATTGTCGGATAAAGAGTTCCCAAGTATTTCCAACAACACAACATCTTCACTCTCGCATATTAAATGATTTCTAAGAACATGTATAATTATATAAAATTTGCTACATATGTCACAGACTGAAAACAAGCACCGAGTACTGAAATTGGTGTAATTTTCTCAACAACTCACAACGGGAAAACCATCGATTCTCAAGTTGACAGCCCCTGCAGCAACCCCGTTAGGCATTTTTAATAATTAACAGAAGGAAAGTACTTGGCAACTCCCCTCAATCCATCCCCGGGACGACTTGTCAGGACATAGAATGGGAGGAAGAAATATTGATAGGGCTCGTATTGGGTCTGTGGCGTAGGAGATATCATAAATTTGCACAGCCATGTGTGAATTGTGGTGCATCAATATCGCGCGAGTCCTGAAGGAATATTAAGCATGGACGAGCGGGGGCTGTAATGGGGCGACGGAGGCGAAAATGTGAAGGAACCATAAATCAAGTGTGTTGTCTTCATATTCTTCTGATGGCAGGTTAACACGCTAAGGGTAAGGGTTATCAGGTGAAATGATAAAGTACGTAGCATTTGTATTTCTATCGTCGCTCACACCATCCGTCACGTTTTTAATGGTTGCCGGGCTCCTTCTGCCGTCGTCGCTCGCCCAAAAGTAATCGCAATCACTTCACATGGGTGTAAATAATGAAACCTTGAACTTGCCTACTTTCGTGGGCCAGATGCGGGGTGAGAGGCTGATGACACTCCTGGGGTGTGAGACACTTTGCGAATGGATGTTGCCATCGTGAAAGTATGAAAATGTGTGGGAGGGTGAGGATCTCTTTTGATAGGATTTATAGCGACAGGGAGGTTGACATTTTACCAGCTTTGTACACCGCATTACACCTCTAATGGAAGGAAACCATAGGCTTATACAATATTGGCTTTTACAATCTGTCACCTCCCCCCGCACCCGGCCGCCCAATTCAATGCCAAGAGGAAATTCATACATTAGCTCTCTTTCATCTCCTATACTCCCGCGCCCCCTGCCCCCTCCCCCCGCACCCTGCGCGACTCCACAGGCCTCAACACCACGCGATATGTACAATGAAATAAGAAAGACGCAAACGCCCCAGCCAATTTTAACCACCCAACCAGTCATTATCATTAACGACGAATTTTCACGACCACGCCACCATTCATTCTCTCACCTTTTGATGTTCACACAGAGAGTCTCAATCTATGCCACCCTCTGACGCTTAAAAACCACCCCCAACTGGCTTCGCACACACGGCCTCACACATACACTTTGATCATCAGCCCCGGGAGGTCTTCATTAAATCCGAAGAATCCCCACCGCTTGTTGCGTCGTCATACATAACATTAGGGTTTGTGTAATTTCGGTTTCAATTATGTTAAGAGTCAGATTATCTTGAAATAGCCATCAGCAACAATGATTTCTCCCGTATTTTTGGGGCGCAACACCACCCATATTGCAAAAGCCACCCCAAAACATCGCCCACGCTTTGCCACCCCCCGAAAGTCTATACCCTCTCTCAACCACGCACCCGTATAGACATCGAGCCACAAATGTATTATTATTAGGTTGCTTGCGGTCGTTCAATTTCGTTTTTAGTTTCGCTTTGAACCAAACTCCAGGCCGCAGGCGGAGGAGAAGTGCAAAAAGGGCGGCGAACGTCCCCTAAGCGAGGTGAAAGAATGCGAAAATCTTTTTGCCCGGCTCCCTTCTTTTTCACCCATCACAGAGTCCCACAAAATCGTGCCATTGCCAACGCTACAAATCCTGTAAAATCACACACAGCCACGCCACTCTCACATCCTCGCACACAAAAATATCCCCACTTTTACCTTGGGAACCTTGGGCTTCAGCAGAGGAAAATTTGAAATCGTTTGTGTACATATAAAACTAGAAAACTTTTCCACCCTGAGAGACGCTTCTTTTGCGAATCTGTGCAAATAAATTTTAATAAACTTATATTAAATTTCCTTGGGAAAACCCCCCACACCCATCATCTTGGGAGATGTGAAATGAGAGAAGACAGAGCTTTTGCCATATACCCACAGGGCTGTGATCAAACTTTCTCTCCCATCGCAAGACGAACCAAAAGGTTTATCAATGCAACAACTCACACGATTCAACTTACACACGCCAACTTCACAGGAATTTTAAAGTTGTATCGAATTGAAGGTTCGATACGCCACGTTTGAAACTTTGACAAATGCAATTTTCTCTTTATTATTCTAATTATGCTGGGAAAATGCGATTGAATACAATGAGTGCTTACACTGAGAGAAATATCGGGCTAGAATTCAGTCGATTTCGGTATAAATCCAGGAATAATCAGGTCGAAAACCGATGAAGGATGATTTTCATCTTGATTAAAGATCGAAAAGCTTGAAATTATACCACAATATGCTGAACAGGACTCGGAACTATGTAGATTCAGGCTAATTTCAAAACTTCTTTTGAAAACCTATTTCAAGAACACTCGTTTCTTGGTTCAAGAACAAATTATTTCTCTGAGTGTACAGAGTTTTCCTTATTACAACGCAACGTTATGCGATTATTGCTCTATTCAAAATTATTCCGTAAGATATTACACCCCATTCTGTGCTCAAATAGAAGCTTCGTCGAGCCTTCATTTGGCTGAATTGAGATTTAATCTGCAGTCACCTGAAAATGGCTGTGCGAGTGTGCAAAACGAAGGCCAAAATGGAGCATTTGGGCAAAGAGACGACAAAAATATGTTGATACCATTTGACGCAATGACTCCCCCTCCCACTCGTCCTGATGGATAAAACATCGCATCGCGCTTGAGGATTATTGATGGCAGGAGACGTCGAAATGGTAAATGAGGAATATAAAGTATCGAAAAAGCCTCAAAGTAAATCCACGTCAATTGCTTTGAAGCGATCGGAAAGAAGGCCCTATTACATTGTACACGCATGGTTTTTTTCTCTCTCCCCTTCCGCCCTTCCGCCACTGTCTTCAGGGGGTGTGGATGCGGAAAAAATGGCTCAAGTAGTTGATTTTATGGAAACACATGCCTATAAAGACGCTGCCATCATTGCTTCACGCACCCACTTACGCATTTTGTCCGTATTAAACACGGATGATGTGAATTTTCCTTCGACATGGAATCGATGATTGCCCACAATCAATCGCTATTGATAGCTTGGGAATTGATGACAAAGGGAATTTACCTATTTGCCCGCGAATATTGACACAGAATAAAATATAAGATTATGAGCTTTTAGTGTGAATGACCCCCGGTACGCTTCTGCATGGCTGGTAATTGTCAATGGAGTGCTTCTTGGCGAAAATCATGCCATTTGGCTATGCTGAAGAGTTCAAGATGGAAAAGGGGAATCTCTCCGCTGTCTTTTTTGCTCATAAAAGCCCATTGAAATTGAAGATCTTGTGCCGAAGTTCGCAATAATGAAATTACGAATAATGTGTATTTCTTATTAAATATCTCATCAATATCTGATGAAACTGAAGGACTATTAATTTACAAGATGATGAAATAAAGCGTCTCATTTCGTTCTTGTACACTTCCCATCGTGTTTCCTAAAATTGAAGGAAAATTTCACCCCCGCATTCACTCTCGCTCTCTCTCTCTCCCGCTCTCTCGTCCACCCACTCCAACTTCCCTCGCCAATACAGCCAACGATTGGATGAAATATGATTTTATCCACTTGTATTCGAAGAAACAATCAATGTCT